AATAAATCCTCTCCACCACCAGATTTCAAAATATCTGGTAGCCAATTTCAGATTTCATCGCCAAAAAGTGGCCCTAATTTCTCCCCGGATATTACTTTGTGTGTTGCACTTGAAGTCAGCACTATTCCCGGCTATCCTCCAACCGGAAGCCGAGTCTCCTCTATATGTCAGCCCATCAAAACCCCATTTCCAGCCTCGGAATTGCCCAATCGCGTTTTAGTAGCTGTTTACCGCCTGCTGCCCGCTTTTTGCAAACTGCTTACACCATTGGTATTTGGATATTTTTAAGCGGGCTTACTATTAGCGTAGGGAAAATAGTATTAAATCTCTCTCTCTCTCTCTCTCACTCTCTCGCTCTCTCTCTCTCTCTCTCCCTCTCGCTCTCACCATGGACCAACCTTTAAAGCTGTAGCTATTTTCCTTGTCCTTTCCGCAAAGAATTTCTGTTCGCTTGCTCGCTGCTAAATATCACTATCCCTTTGAAGCTGCAGTTAGTACTCCTTCCTCAAAATTCAGGGCTAGCTTGCCCACCTGTCACTGTCCCTTTAAAACGCTCCACATCAAAACCCACACGTCCATGTTGCCGTCCAGGTTGTGGGCGGCCATAATCGGCGAGTCAATGTTATAGCGGCCAATTCGACCAGCCAAAAAGTGGCCTATAAATCGGATGGTAGTGGCTTGATGGCCGTGTGGTTGAGTTTTAATTTGGCTGCCAGAGTGGGAGCAAACCGTAAAAATACGATTTTGCAACCGGACGTGACGCCCACTCGGGTTTAGAAGTGTGGAGTGAGGGAGGGAGAGAGAGAGAGAGAGAGAGAGAGAGAGAGAGAGAGAGAGAGAGAGAGAGAGAGAGAGATAGAGAGAGAGAGAGAGAGAGAGAGAGAGAGAGAGAGAGAGAGAGAGATAAAAAAGATAAAAGGGACCGAAAGCGACGACGCAACGAACCGACATGAAAAAGCCGAAACCCAAGCCTACGCTTGAAAACCGAAGCCGATGCGAAGCCTAGGGCTGGCTACAGCTTAAGCTAGAGGCTATTTTAAAAACGAAGTAAAAGTAGAGCTGAAGTCTATACCTAAGCCGATGCTTCCAAAGGCCAAACCTAAGCCAGGCGTATGTCAAAGCCTTAGGTATCCCTCAGCTCAATACTAAGCTAAGCCTATGCCTAAGCCAAAATTAAGTCTAAGCCGAGCCTAAACCAAGCCATAGATCTCTCCATTACACCTCGTTTTACCCCCTGCTCTATATTGCCTTTGGCGACTAGCTCTACTAGTTGTATGTAAAAGAGGGGCTCTTCATTAGGCGAATGTCATCCCATCTCATCCCGATCGCTCGTTTTTCACCCTCCTTTGCTCTTTCTCTCTTTTCTGTGGGTTGAGTGTCATATGCAGAGCTTCGATAGCCCCCAGATGAGCTTCACATTCCCCCCATCAGTCCCATCCCCCCATTTCATTGCTCAACGGGCTGCATGTAGTGGGTGAAAAGGTATTAGTGACTAATTTGGGTTGGATTTTACGCATGTTGGCGTTGAAGGCTTTCTTTATTTTCGGATAATCGGTGCATGAATCGTTTAAAATGAGCTCTTTGGAGAAGTCGTACCGTAATCCACGTTTGGTTGCTATTTGGCACCTGATTTTCTCAACTTTTTAAGCGGATTTTGACAGCTATAGAGCTCATGAAGATTTTAGGGCATTCCCGGATTCCACGGAATTAATATCTGCTCAAAGAAACTCTTTGGCATGAGGCCAAGCGTGCTGACTTGGCCTCTTGCCTTCCACGTTCCTTTAACCCGGTTAAGCAGCTAGGTTCTATCTAAAAAGGCGGATACCTTAAACCTTGGCCGCTTGCCAACAGTCCATATCCGAAATTTTGTCGTCGGTGCCCCTTTAAAAGTGGTGAACGGCGAAAAAATCGACCCATTCTGACGACTAGGTCGCGACAGTTCCCGGTGCTGCAAAATAAAGGACTTGTTTTTGCTTTAAAGCGGCGTAATTTAAATTTGTGTTCTCTGTCGAGGCCTAGTCACGGAAAGGGGTTGATTTTGACACTTTTCAGCCCCTTTAAAGGGCCATCCACTTGCGAAAACCGCAGCATTAGTGTTGTTCCGCGTAGCCATGCGTAGTCGAACTCCTAAAAGCAAGCGTATAAAGCTGCCAAGATCTCACACATTTTTCTGTCGCCGTCCCTTTAAAAGCGCTCGGCCTAGTGTTATCCCCCTAGAATGCATGATCATTACCACACCCATTGAAGCCCTTCAAATCCCGTACCCCACCTCAGCACCCCGCCATTGGTTCCCCTAATCAGCCTAGCTAGAGTAAAAGCCCCCCACTGGTCGCGGGCCGTTTATAAGCTTCAATCCCCCCTCATTGCCCGAGTTGATTATTAGCTGGTTGGAAGCTGACAGAGAGAGAGAGAGAGAGAGAAAGAGAGAGAGAGAGAGCTACCTGGTGTCCATGTCCACCCCATTTATGGCCAATATCCCGTCGAGACCCCGATAGACCTATCGCAACTCTTGTGGGGGCCCCCAATTAGCCGTTTTATGGGCCCGGGGTCGGAACCTATTCCAGCCACGCGCAACATTTGCCATATCTACCATATTTGCCTTTGTAGGCCGATATTCCATTCCACTCCTATATTTGTCGTTGCGTCGTTTGGATAGAACGGAACGCTGAGGGTTACGGTAGGCGGCCAAAAAGGGGACACTGAAATGGGCTTTCCGGTCCCTTTAACCGACGAAGCCAACTGGTTACCCTATGGAAAAACCGGAAACAGACGATCGCTCCTTTTAAAGGGATGAGAAAGGGAAAATTTTGCTTTTTCTTGATTCAGCCCTAGAAACAATAGCCATACCTTCAGTGACCCTTTAAAAAGCTTTAGTTTTCTTTTTCCAAAAGTCCGCGTAATATTCTACATTTGCATCACATTGTAACTGCTTCATAATCACCGTTTTCGGCTTCCCCTTTGGGTCTCACTCAAATTACGGGGGATAGTCCGGAGACGACACACACCAAATTACGGTCGGAATCATAGGCTATATGGGGGTGTGAATGTGTAAATGGAATGAGACGTCTTCTCTCTCGCTCTCTCGCTCTCTCTCACTCTCTCCACTCTCTGTCTCTCTCTCTCTCTCTCTCGTTGTCTTGCTTTTTGAAAGGCTTCTCCCCCCTCGGCTAATCGCTATTTTCGGCCAGTGTCCATCCTGGAGCCAGCCGAAACGCCACCATTTCCATAAGGCACTCCACTCGACGGCTTTCCCGGAAATCGGCGCAATTTGGGAATTTGTGAAGGGAAATCACATCTAATAAATAGCCATCAACGGGCGTACGGTGGAGCGGAGTGTAACGGAATAACAACAGACAAATTGGGGGTTTGCAAAAGGCGGAGGGGATCGTTTTTAGCCATTGCCTTATGAAAATTCCTTTTTTGCCAGGCGTAAATGAATTTTTATCTTTTAAAAATTTCGTAAATTTCAATTGACCTAACAATCAATGCTTTAAGTGTCAGAGTAAGTGAGAAATATCCCGCATTTAAAAAGCCGGACAAAGTTTTTAAGAGCCTTTTAAGTTTTTTTCATAAAATACGACGATTTTTAAGTTCGCAGTTGCTTTCAAATAAAGGTCTTTTCCATTTAGCTTATTTTAATTTAATTTCATTAGCTTTCAACCACAAACAGTAATTACCCTGCAATTCCGCACCCATCCGATGACCGCCTAAATAGGCCAAAAATTACCCCCTAGAAGATAAGTAAAAAGAAAATCCGCGCGCGCGAATCGCCCTCATTTGGCCTCATTATTGGGCCATTTTCCCGAGGCAATGATCTCTTCATCATCCGCTTTTTTTGGGGATTTTTGACGCAATTTGCAGGCGGCGGGGGCTATTGTTTTCGGGGGCGGGGCCAAGGAATGCGGAAACGGTGTGCTTGAAGAGGTGCAAAAGTCCAGATTTTGGCCGCCCTGGGTACGGTAGCCTGGCTAGGGTGGATTGGCCAAACTACAGTTTTGTAGTCAGAATTTTAGTTTGCCCGGGCTACAGCGATATGCAAATTGGAGACATTAAAGGGCTGGCCGGCTCCAAAATTCGCCAAAATCCGCTAAAATTTTGCAGTTTTAAAGGGGGCGAGACGGGAAAATTCTGCTTTTTCGACAAATCAAAGGGGCTGAAAACCTTGAAAGTGTCGACATTGCATTAAAGGCGGGGTGAGCGATAGCTAGTTATCGATAAACCACCAATTTTAAAGAGACTGATAATGCAGGAATATCTATGGTTTTTGGCCGCAACGAATTCTCTAGGATTTTCCTGGCTTGCTGTATGTAACCCATAACGAAAAATCCCCAGTCTTGCTTTGCCTGTCCCTTTAAAAAGATTCTAAAGGGATAGTGACAAAAATGAAATTACTATCCCTACAGTTCTATCCTGTTTACACCTTTTTAGATACCATTTCTAAGGTCGGAAACACAAAAACACTCTCATCATAATTCTGTGGTACTGAAAAAACCCCAAAAACGTCGCAAATTGGCGGTATCCTGACCCTTGGGGTGGGGGTACTGTAGGAACGGCGGTGTCACTCGTAATTTTACACAATTTTGGTCGACCAATAGGGGCTTGATAGCCGCCGGCCCGGGGTGAAAAGCCCGCAATTTAGTATACGCGGCAGGGTTGCCAGTATCGCCAGCTTCCTAATTACCCCCCTATAATGTGTGCTTAATCCAGTGAGCGAGAGGGGTTTACGGAGGGGGTAAGAGATCGGAAGGTCATCGTCATTTGATTGATTCATTTTGTGTGGGTTACGGTAACGTTATAGTAGTAAAGATGTCTTTATGCGCTTGAGACAAAGCTTAAATCTAAGCCTAATCCTAAGTTAAGCCTAAGCCTTTTTGCTTGATTTTTTACCTCGTTCTCTCTCTCTCTCTCTTTCTCTCTCTCTCTCGCTTTCTAACTAATGCGCGTTTTTCATTGCGTAATTGGATATCGATACCTTAAGCCTCTAATTTCACGATTTCAGGATGTCGGCCCTTGAACCGGCCGTGAAGCCGCTGGCCCTGCCATGCGTTGGGTTGACGCCCAGTCCAGATCATGTGAGTTACCAAGCGAAGCCTAAACGAAGCCCAAGCCTAGGCCCAAAAAACTAAGCTAAGCCAAGCCTAAGCTAAACATATTTGTATCATTAATCCCAACCTACGCACACATTTTCCAGCTGAAAGAAGCCGACGCGCGACGCCAAAGCCTAAAAGCCGCCACCGCCTACAGTATCACCAGCCTGTTGGAGAGCCGGAAGGACAAGGAGGTGTCCCAAAGCCGCGCGAGGTATACTATAGATTCTGGTGTACCAGAGTCAGTTCCCAATCTTGCAGCAGTTCCACCGTCTCCGAGGAGGACCACCCGGCATCAGACACACGCTGCCAGAGCGCTGATGATGAGCGGGGGTACGTTCGATTTTATGGTTTTCTAAACCTTGTCCGGCTATGTTCCACTCATTTTTTCGCAGCGAGCCCATTCCTTTCCTAAAACCTGACTAGCTACCGTAATCTTCCCTCGGAGGGCCGTTTTCTCAATCGCGCGCTTTTAGCGTATTGTATCTCTCATTTCGTTCTTTTTTTAAAGGCGTCCGATGACCGTAAGCATCCTTTTACATGTTCTAAAACGTGCCCCTTTACCGCAATTTTCCGTTCGTTGCCGTCGTTTTCTAAAAGATGTCCAGCTACAGTAATTCTCCAGTCACCTGGTTGCATTCTAAAAAGTGCCCACTCAATTTTTCCTAATTTTTCTGCAAAAACGGATTATTCAACGCAATTTTCGTCGCCAATCCCATTGACGAAAGCCGAAAAAGATATGACCCCGGATTTATTTACCGCAGAAAACAGGCAATGAACTCACGGGGCGCGTATCCATTACAGGATTCCACCTCGATCAGGAGATTCTAATCCCCCAAAAATTGGGGAAAATGGCCCACCTCACCGCCAAAAACGATGCGATATAGGTGTCAAGTGGAAAGGACATTAGGGGATTAGCCGAGCCACGGAAGGATTTTGATTGGATCCCGGAAAAGATGGAGAATCACTCAGTCGGCCGCAAACAAATTGGGTGCAAAATGAAGGGCAGTAAATGACTGGATTACGGTAGCTGGGACACGCTTTAGAAAAAGAAAGACGCGCATAGGCAGAAAACCGGTATTTAATTCGACGAAAAACTTACAAAAATCACCCTATTAAAAACCAGACTTAAAAACTAAAAACAAAACTTTTAAAATGCGCAAAAATGTCATAAATTTTAAATTTAGATCTAAATTGATTCAAAAACGTCGCTATAAATTTTATAAGATATGGAAAATCTATGAATTCTACCGCGCCGCGGCACGCAACGCGACTAGAACTGGAGTGCGCGTCTCGTCTTGGCTCTCCCTTATCTTTCGCTTAAATTTAAATTAGCAATTTACTATTTAGCAGAGCTCAAAAATCGTATTCCAGCAATCCCGCAAATTATCTAGGCCCATTCCGCAATTATTGTATTTCGGAAAGCACCTGTTGACGAGTTAGGCGACCAAGCGAGTAATACCACTAACCCCAAAAATGTGATTGGTTCGGTTCATAAAATCTCACTCTCTCTCGCTCGCTCTCTCTCTCACCAGTCGACGAAAACACAACAGATTTGGGCCCCATATAGCCCTGGGGCTATTCCTGGCCCTCCCCACTTTTTGTGGCTGACGCCTTGGGGGTGGGCGGATTATTAGGTTTTCCGGTGTAGCTCGGGTGTAAACTGTCAATAGGAGCCGAGCGTATATTAATTGCCGACACTTTCGGCGATCCCATTGTTAGAGGTGGACTTGACTTTAGTTGATCGCCCTGGAAAACGTGTAGAAAGTACGTTGGGTAATACTACTTTAACTCTTAAAATTTAGAAACATTAAAAATAATTTCAAGCTTCGCAAATTGTTAAGAGCCTCACAAAGCCACGATTTAAAATAAAGTATTTCAATTACTTTAAAGTTGACGGAAACCCCAAAATAGTACAGTAGATTCTAAACGGCCCAAAAATTTTTTACGCCCTCCTAAAAGATTATTTACACCCCCCGTGGGCCAGGTGAATGAAAACTCGTAGGCCCGCCTTGGTCCTTCCGGTTATAATATGGTCATTTGCCAGGCGGGACCCCGGGGCCCAACCTGGTTAATTGGGGCCTAATTCTCGTGGTCACACCAACGTGGGGGAGACTTGTACAGTGGTGCCCTACCCCAGAATAAATGAGCGCGTTGATATGGGTGGCTGGGCACGAATTCGAGCTTACTTTTCTTTTTTCTCTCTTTCTCTCGTTCTCTCTCTCTGCCTTTCTCTCGCTCGCTCTCTTTCTCCACTACGGCTTCACCAATTTGAAAAAGCCCATGATTTTTTCCGATGCACTACTATAAACGTGGCCCCGTGACCAGTCAAGGATTACGGTAGATATGTACCTTTTCGTGCCTTAATTACGGGAATGCGAAGGATTTAAAAGTACACTGACACCAAGTTACGGTAGAACGTGTTATTCCGATTTTTTTCATCCGATTACCGTAGGCCTTGGCATTACGATAGTCTTACTTAGAGAGGGAACACCGCATACGGTGGAATGACTTAGCAAACGCTAAATTTTAGCTTGTAAATTTCGTGATTTGGATAAAGAGAATATCAGATGGTGTATCTTTGAAAAACCGGTTTCCGTGAATACAGTATCTTTTTCATATCCGTTTTCTGATAAAAGATCTTTAATTTTCAATTTCTTAATTTCCGCCTTCTTTCCAAAGTCACGCATTTTGCAAAAGTTTCGCACCCGCATTTCCAATATCCCCTCCAAAAATTCCCACCCCAGCCAATTTGGGGCCTATTTTCATCGAAATTGCCGTAAATAGTCGCTGCTGCTGCTGCTCGGGGATGGATTCGGGATTTGTGGGGATTCTATAATCTGCCCGCCTCAGGCGTGGCCTTCTAAATCCGTTGGGTGCGTCAAAATGACAGTAGTGTTTGTGCTCATTGGATACTCGCGGATTATCCCCCCATTGCGGTCTCTCTCCCCCTCTCTCTCTCTCTCTCTCTCTCTCTCTCTCCACATATACCAACATATCGTAGCCAGTGCTTATTATTATAAAGAGGCGGGGTTGCGGATTTATCCTTTTGGCGTCACGGCAAAAATTGGGCCCCGGGCCTATTGTCATTCAGTATTGTTTCGTACTTGAGGGCAGGATTCTTGATGCTTTTTTTGAACGAATAATTTGGTTAAACACGATTTCGCTACCGTACCTTAGCTACCGTAATCCTCCAATTTCTCCTTTTTCCAGGTCTCCTTCCGCCTCAAGCGCGGACGCGATGGCCGCATCCGTTTTCCCGCATTTCCAGTTCCCGAACCCAGCCCTCCTTGCATCGACCATGGTATGTTTTTGACACTTTGGCCTTCACAATCATTTTAATTAGCGAGCGTAATCGATCAAAATCCAAATTTTTAGATGCCCGACCTCTCGAACCCCCTAGGCCTAGTGGGTGGAGGGCTAGACATGGCACAGGCTCAGCATTTGCAGGTAGGCTTGGGCGGAGGTCTTGCTTTTTGGATACTGTAGCAGGTGTTACGCTTTCTTTAAAGAAACTAGCAATACGCAAATCTATCTTACGCCCACTATTTCTTGACAGCTACGTTTTGCTCCGAAGTACACGCAAAATACTGTTTCCTAGCTTAAAAACTGGGGGGTTTTTTCCAGCGAAGCGTAACTGTCGAGACCTAGTCGCCGGTGAGGTAGATTTTTCAGCTTAATGGTCCTTTTATGCAAAAAATATCTTTGCTTTTAGCAAACCTACCTCTCCCTGCTACTCGGGCAGCAGCTGGGCGGCCAGGCGACGTCACCGTTAAGGATGATGTCGGCGCAGGAACAAGGTATGTGCAAAAATATGAATTCTTTGTCTATGTCTCTCGCTCCCTCTCACGTTCACTCACTCTCTCTCGCTCACTCTCTCTCTCTCTCTCTCCTCCTCCTCCAGCGTCATAAAATAGTGTGGCGATCCCAAAAGGGTTGTAGCGAATCGTCTTCTATCAAATGTCCTCCTCCCCCCTTCCCCTCTCTATTCAATTGAATGCCCCGATTCGGGGCAAGATCGTGGCTGTAAACTATTCACAGAATTCATCTCCTCCCCCCTCCCTAAACACTCGAACGAACATTTGTGTTGCGATAACGGGAACGTAGTCGAGGTAGATTCCCGAGATGTTCAAGGAATTGGAGGGGTCAACTGTGAAATTCTAGGATTCGTGAAACCGCGTCGCGAGGTTGTCGATAATATCTGTAAGAAACAGTTGATTCTGGCTTTTCCAGTCCCTTTAAAAGGTCTAGAAACGAATCGACCTCTCTTATCTGCTGGCTCTCGACAGCTACGTTTAACACCAAATGGCGCTTCATTATGATTTTTATAGCTTTAAAAATTCGGATTTTTAGCGGTTAGGTGGCCCTCGATGCCCATATGCACGAAACCGTCGATTCTGGCACTTTCCAGTCCTTTTAAAATAAATTTAAACCGCGAAAATCGACGCTTTTTGTCGATTGGGTCTTGACGCTTACGTTTTTCGCAAATGACGCAAGAAAATCACTTTAATAGCCTTAAAAAGACATATTTTGCAGTGATACATACCTGTCGAGACCCAACCGCTAGAAAAGTTATATTTTTGGCTTCCTTATCCCTTTAGAACGCGGGCCATAGCCTCGTTTATCCCCCCGAAAAGCCATCCCGAAGCGCCCCGAGTACATAAAGGCAGTTATGGGGTGGATGGGTGTGGATGAAAGGGTCTTTGAAGGGGGTAGAAGAGGTAGTTGAAGGGGTTGAAGGGGGGATAGAGTCGAACCGCCGCTCCTCTTCTCGGCTCATCAATTGCCCATTCATCCTCATGAAATATCATCATCCTCACCCCCTCAGCACTCAGCACACAACGGGATGGGCGAAAATTGCTTTTAGGGCCCTTCAAAATAGACGTCTAGGGCTTTTCGAACAATTTTAGGGAACTGAAAAAAATCAGATTTTTTGCCAAAAATAGCCAAAATTCTAACTACGTTGTTCGACAAAATTCATAAGAACGTCATAAAATAAATCGGGTTAATGGACCTTAAAATATAGATTGCAGTGAATTTTACTAATTGAGGGTTTTTCTAATTTTCTAAAACAATTTCAATAATTTTTAATGTCTTTTCGACATTGGAAGGCCATTTTAATTATTTGTTTTAAGCTTAACCACATGATTTCCTAAATTTTGATACTTTCTGAGCCACAAAGCTATTACATTTTGAATTTTGACGACATTTCTAAAAAGTTTAATAAATCGAATTTACAAAATTAGCATTTTCCACGTTTTTTTTGCTAGAAATAGCTTCAAATTTGAGCTGTAAATTAGCATATTAACAATTAAAAACACTAAATTCGCAACGTAAAATTACGTATTTTGAGCACACCAATTTTGCCGAAAAATCCCCCCCCGCCGTCGAAAAGTGATTTCCGGAAAATGCCCCGGCCATGGTTTCGCACCTCCCTGGGCGGATTTTTGGTATTTTCAGGGGGATAATCTACCCGAAGTGGGGGTATATTTAGCCCCCAGGTATATTAAGCCAGCCCCCGGGACGTCGATTGTTTTTTGGTTTAATACCACGATGAGGTAGATGGGAGATTGTGACGGAGATGGGGATACTGAACGGCTTATGGCTAAATGGGGGATATATTAAAAAGGAAACAGTAATAAAATAACGATGAGAAATCGATGGAAAGGTGAAATTACTAAAGACATTTTCCAGCAGCTCGGACGGCGGCCGCGTTGAATCCGTTTGCGTTGTTGTCACAGTTGAATGGTGGATCGCAACAGGTGAGAAAGAGAGGGAGAGGGAGAGAGAGAGCGAGAGAGAGAGAGAGAGAGAGAGAGAGAGAGAAGCGAGAGACGGATACAGCAAAACAATCCAACATTTCCAGGCAGCAGCCCTAGCCGCCCGATTGCAACACCCCCTCCAGCTCTCCCCCAACAGCCTCAACATCAACAAGAAGCAGAGCCGCCCCACCTTCACCGGCCACCAGATATTCATGCTGGAGAAGAAGTTCGAGCAGACGAAATATTTGGCCGGAAATGACCGGGCACAGCTCGCCCAGGAGCTGAACATGAGCGAGAGCCAAGTCAAGGTGGGCAAGCCAAGCCATTTAAGTCGAAATTCAAGTCAAGGCTAAGCCTAGGTTAACTTGGCTAAGTCTCGGTAAGCGTCAACCTGAACTTAAGCCTAAGCATTTGCCTAAGCCTATACCTAAGCCAAAGCCTAAGCCAAGCAAGCGCGAAACTTGAAAATTCGGTCCAGTTCCGACCTCCTACTCCTTCCGGACCCCCTTAACTTTTTACCCATGTTGTCTCGTGCTGATATTTGAGTTTGGGGTGCAATGAGTCGTGCTCGAATTGGTGGACCTTGGCTCCCCAAGGCGCCACATTAAACTCCGGAAATGGGGTTTATAGGCGTGACATTGGTCGGGGTATCTATTTCAAGTATACGGTACCCTAGGGATGTTCTTTAACTTGTTAAATTTTGCTAAATGGACAGAAAGGCGCGATAATCCTATGGATTTTTGTGTATTTTTAACAATCACTTTAAAACCCCGGGTTTCAATGTTTTCAGTCTCGTTCTGCACGCTCCATAAAATCGAAATAACCCCCTGAAAATTCTCTCAATATTCCCAGGGGACCAAATTGGGGTTGTCATCACATCCGGCCATTTCTTTCCCCACCCCTCGAATCCATCCTCATTATGCTAACAAGAGTCAAAATGGGGATGTGGGCTTCTCCCCCATCGTCCACCGTATAATACGCCCCTTGGGAGCATGGGGATTGGGCGATCCAAGCTTCAAAAAGGGTGGATTGGTCGGGAATTTGAATCAACCGATCTGAAAATTTTATTAAAGGGGGAAGTGAGACGCGCCTTGGACCGTTTTTGCAAGCCTAAGCCGCCTAAGCCCATGCCAAAGGCTGAACCTAAGCTGATCCTAAGCCCAAGCCAAATCCTAATGCTAAGCCTAAAGCTAAGCCTAAGCTCAGGTCAACGCGTAAGTCCGAGCGTAAGCCTAAGCCCCAGCCGAAGCCTGAGCCTGAGCTGTGCATAATTTCAATACCAATATTTGATGCGTTTTAACGATACGTGGCTGTCTAAACCAGCGTACAGATGGGGCTGATTTTCGCGCGATTTCGAGCTGATTAAATCTTAGAATTTTAGTGCGGATTTAAATCTTCGCTTTCAGGTCTGGTTCCAAAACCGGCGAACAAAGTGGCGCAAGAAGGAAGCGGCGGATAATGCCCTATCCGGAAAGGACCGACACTCCGAAAGTCCGCAACCACCTACCCTCCAGGGCCTCCATGTGTTCCTAAATTCTAATTAGTATATTGGCGAAATATGGTTAATACTTCGCTATATTTCTGTGTACGACATGCCCTTCCTCGCCCCTTTACTTGCCATTAAATAGCTATAAAATAAGGAAAAATGATTTAAAAGGAAGTCGAACTCATAAGCCTTTTTTTCCAAGGGAAATCCCATTTCCACTCATCAATATTTTTTGAGTTCACACGTCCTTTAAATTGGTTTTCCAATTCAAATTTGGTCTTTTTAAAACGTACCCAGAATCGATGTGTAGCTAAAATTTCCCTTGAATCTGGCTGGAACATGACCAAAGCGTTTGTCTCTCCCCTTTTTCTGTATATTTTCCGCTACATTTTACTACTTTTCCGATCACCCTTTCATTAGTGCATCGAGAGCATCGACCCCGAGCTATTGTGATAAAAACCTGGCCGAATCCAGTCCGCCCCCGCTATTTATCGATTTTTAGCCTGAGCCAAGCCTAAGCTAAGCCTAAGCTAAGCCTAAGCTATGCCTAAGCTAAGCCTAAGCTAATCCTAAGCTAAGCCTAAGCTAAGCCTAAGCTAATCCTAAGCTAAGTCTAAGCTAAGCCTAAGCTAAGCCTAAGCTAAGCCTAAGCTAAGCGATGTTAAGCCTAGAATAAAGCCAAAAATGTGCATTCTTATTCTTATTTTTCAAACCCCTAAAATGGGCCCCGATTCACTTTCCGCACTTCCCACAGCATTCTGGCAATAAGGCATCAGACTTTAACCCTTTTTCTTGATCTCTTTTTTGAGGTTTTCATTATTTTTGATTTTTTTCTGATTCCATGTGTTTTTTGGTATACAAAATTACTCCCATTTGATATATACAAAATAATTGACCGTGCCGTGTGTCTTGATTTTTTTGGAGATATACAAAACAATCCCCTCGTTTCCGTCCCCGGCCGCTGTGCATAGCGCACAAATTGAGAAATAAAATGTTTACAAATTAATTGAACACCATGAACGTGTTAACAACATAAAAAATATAAAAAACCGAAAATACAAGTCAAGAGAAGGCACAAAATTCATTGAAAAGGACTGATTTTCGCAAAGAATGGGAAAAATACCAGCAAGCCACGAGATATGAGCGATTCTTGGAATTCCTTGGTTTTTGGATTTTGGAATAAATTAAAATCAAAGGTTTTAAAAACTGTCAAGTTTAAAAATCGACATTTGTCTTGGCCGGCGGCGGTTTCAAATGAGCTGTGCAAATTTCATCGGGTAGCTCGAACCGTTCGGCACTTGGTGGTTTCCTAAAGATTTGCAGGTTATCTCATTTCCACACGTAGTTTTTGTGATTGTGTGTTCAAAAGCAAGGTAGGTGAAAATAACATCGTCTTCGATAAAAACAATTATAGAAACCAAGAAAAGCAACTGCAAAAAAGCCTACGACACTCGGGATTCCCAAGCCGTCTCCGATCCAAGTACTAACCGAGCCCAACGTTGCTTAACTTGGCAGATCGGACGGGATGTCGTGCTTTCAAAGTGGTATGGTCGTAGGCGATAGGAGGGGGGGAGACTGGGGGTGAAGAGACTCAGGTAGGCCGCTTTAGGCCTTCCCTCTTGTACGCTTTTCTTGCCCTTCCTTCGCCTACGACCATACCACGTTGAAAGCACGGCATCCCGTCCGATCTGCCAAGTTAAGCAACGTTGGGCTCGGTTAGTACTTGGATCGGAGACGGCTTGGGAATCCCGAGTGTCGTAGGCTTTTTGCAGTTTTTGTCAACAATTTTTGTTCAACAGAGTTTCTAGAGCCGCCAAAGGCATGTGAAACCTTTTGAGCAAGGTGTTCTTCCTACCTTCTAGCGGTTTTTGCTCTTTGTGCGGCACCAGCCGTGGTTGGTTGCACAGTGGAAGTAGGAGCCACTTCAGGAGTCGTGCTGCTTGTAGATGTTGATGGAATGGTGGTGGATGGTGTGGTTTCTAAAATACTTGAGGTCAGTTCTGTAATTTTGGGTGATCATACGCGTGCTCTCTTCCCAATGGACCGGCCCCACTCCGTTGACACCGTCGATCGGTACTGCGATGTACGCTTTGCCACCAATAACCGTTCGGGTCCCGGCACGAAGCGGATGTAGTCGTTGCTCAGAATTTACCTAGAAAATTTTGCGTGACACCACTACTAATTGCTGTAAATTTAACCGACTTGCGATATTTATTGAGTGGGTGGGATATTTTACCTCGCCGGTCGACTGTCCCTGGAACGAGATGCTCCTCTGGCCACCGTCAATTTCCTCCAGAATTCGTGGATCGCTTTTGGAGAGGGCGCTAAAGACGGGCTGGTTTTATTAAAGCGTTGTATATTACAGTAATTTCGTGAGGTCTACCCCTCGAAAATTTTGTAGCAAATGTCGATCAATGCAGTGTATTCACAACGTTTTCGTTTCTCGAGAATTCTTTACATGCGTATCCTTTTGATGCCGTAAAGCTGCCATAATTCGTCGCACAATAAAAGTGCTGCCTGTCGTGGGCGCGGAAAAATTAAGACAATCCACCGCCAGAAAAATCCATAGTTCTGCCTTGCGCACCCCTTTAAAACACAGGTTTATTAGACATTTGACGGCCGATTGCCTCTCTCTCAATGCGCTGCTAATCCGCTCAAAAAATTCCGAAAAGATGCGATAACCAATGCGTGGCCGGTCTGCTGGTCGACCCGTCGATTTTTGGCGTCCAGCATGAAAAAGTCAATTTCCTCGTTATTTCTATTCGCTATTTTGCACTTTGCATCAGCCGGATGCCCCACTAATAGTATCTATGTGGCGGAGATGGGGAAGTGTCTATTTTTCGGGGATGAAGGTTGGTGTTTCTAGCTAAAAAATAGAAACTTATTTGTTTTAGCCACAACATTCACCGGAGCAGAGACAATTTGCGAGAGCTATGGAGGGAGCTTGATCTCGATTCATAATGCTTTCGAGAATTCGTTAATTTCGGCGTATCAGCAGACCGGTAAGTCAAAGCAGAATCGAAGATTTGAGGGAGCTAACAATCGCGGGCCAATCGACCTGTTCCGGCCAATGGGCCTCACCATTTAATCTCTAAAGTTATGTGCGCAGCAAAATTCATAGGAAATCCCTAGTAATGCCTTGCGCGTCCCTTGAAATTTACCACGTGAGAGAGAATTCTCAATAAAAAAAGCAACAGAACACCACGCGGCATTTGGAGCAAAACGTAGTCGTCGATATCTAACCAGAAAGAGGGTATATTTTGGTACTTCCCGGTCCTTTTAATCGATACCTTAATTAATTTACAAAATTTTCCAAATTACAATTCCATTAATAAGACGATAATTCAACTTCAGCCAATCGATTCTTCTGGCTCGGGCTTCGTCGGCAAATGCCGGCACCAGTTTGGGCGTGGAGCGATAATTCAACTACGAATTATTACAAATGGGCACCAGGTTTGTAAAACATCTAATTTTATGGCAGTTACTCTATTTTTAGAATCAAAAACACCACCCAAATCTCCTTTAGGTCATCCCGATTCCGGGTCCGCTTGTACGGTATTGTCCCCAGCCGAGCAGAGCTGGCACTCGGCCGATTGCAACGAGAGGAATCCGTTTATATGCGAGCTGCCTCAAGGTGAGAGAGAGAAAGAGAGAGAGAGAGAGACCGAGAGAGAGAGAGAGAGATATTTTCCGGGATTCGGCTCTAGTAAACTTTTAAATTAAGCTAAACCATGTCGCAACGGCTGGAGCTACTTTAACTATACAAATAATTGCTATTACGTAGGTTCTTCTACATTATAAAGTTGCTAGAAGCGGTTATAAATTTTAAATATAACTTTTCTAGATCGGCAAAAATCGCACGTTCACCCAAGCCGACGCCTACTGCCAGTCCTACGGTGGCTATTTGGCCTCGGTGCACAATAACCCGGAGAATGAGTTTATTTACGGTAATGGCTTACTGTATAACGCCAGAAAAGGCTTTTTTTAGAATTGGCGCGGACCGATAAATGTGCCAATTTCACGATGAACCCAAAATATCTGGAGGGCACCGTTTTGCTAGGAGGATTTTTCGCAAAGGATCGTGAGTTTGATGAGGCGAAATTTTAGGAGGATGGCCATCTAGCAGAGATTCTTGACGGAAAACGGAAAATTAGTTTCTCAGAAAATCAATAATGACGAAATCCATAGCGCGTGCACCACTTACTAACTTCATAGTCATACCTTGCTGGTCCCTTTAACGCCCCCAAGTCCATAAACTTAATTTCTACAATTTCCAGGCGGATTCGTCAGCCGGTGGCTAGACTGGTCGACGCCCGACTACATGTCCGAGATGAGCTGCTACAAACCTGGCGAGAAGAGCGAGCAGACCATGCTCGTATGTTACTTAAAATTGCCTAGGAATCTGCTAAAATCTACAAGTTACAACTTCAAGTTTAGCTGCTTGCTTTCCCGGCCGGTTGCGGTGCGTGCGAGGCCGATCGCGGGAATTGGCTAACGGTTGACGATGATCGGAGTGGATACGACAATTGGTACCCGAATTTTGTGTGCAAGGTGGCGGCATTTAGGGGATAGTTGTGGAATAAACTAATTTCATTTGATGACTTAATTTTACACAAAAATGCCGACGGGAAGAGAGAGCGAGAGCTAGAGAGCGAGACAGAAAGCGAGAGCTACAGATAAAGCGCAAGAGAGCAACTGAAAGAGAGAAGGCTATTCCAAGAGATCTTTGATAAATTTCTACTTGGCTACACAGTGCCATGAATTCAAAAAAAAACCCTCAAATAAATAATTCCATTTTCTTGGATAATTATAGGGCTTTTCGATAGTAAGGCATATTTTTAACCCCCAAATTCCGCGATCAAACTAACAACATGTCTGCCTTTCCTAAAGCGCCCTAATACCCCACCGGAAAAAGCCGATCAGAAAATTGTTGACTTGATAGCGCTGTCCAACCCAAGAGTATTGCCGATTTTTGAGCTCGTCTAGGATGGGCTCCACTAAATTCGTTGTATTTTTCACATTATTATATTGTGGAGCGGCTCAATGTCCAACAAATGCGGTATACGTCGAGGCCATGGATAAATGCTTACTCTACAGTAGTCAAGGTACATTGAATGACGTTGTAAAACAACAAAAAATTCAGTCACAAACTTCGATGGGGCGGCGGAAAGTTGCGAAAATTTTGGCGGTTCTCTCGTATCGATTTGGAATGGGTTTGAAAACAATTTGATCACTACTTACCAGGCAGAGGGTAACTTTCTTTTAAATGTATAATTTTTACTCATAAAAAATCAGCAAAATCTGGGTGGACCGTCTACTATATGGGGCTGCACCGCGAGGACCGGAATAGCGAGTGGGAATGGGCCGATAATTCGACGGCCACGTTTTTTAAATGGGCTCCAGGTGGGTGATTGTTTGTTATTGATACTTATTAGCAAGCAAAAAAATATAAATCAATTTAGGCCACCCATCAGCCGGGGCAAATTGTGCCGTTCTATCCTTGCCAGATAATAGCTGGCATTCGATGGATTGCAATGGCTATCAGGCGTTTATCTGTGACGTACCGAAAGGTATAAATTGATGGCTTAGTTTTCGTATTCGACTAAAATCATTTAACTTATCCTACCTTATATAATTTGGTCGCGTATCTTTGTCTGTGTGTGTGTGCGGAGGTCAGTTTCGAGGCCAGATTTGAGGCCCTTCCCGTGTCCAAAACGCCCCATTTCTCCGTCACCTAGGGGAATCGACCTTCCTCTTTCCGATGGCGTTCTCAGAATTTCGATAAAATACAAGTTTACAAAGTTAAAGCCGGTTTTATTCAATTTTGGGGATCCGGGAGGGCTAATTTGCATAAAGTATACAAAGTTCCTCATTCTTGCCAGTTGCACTCGCGTGTTTGGTCGGGGGTCCGCCGGACCCGAGCTATCGGATAGCCAATTTCTCATGCAAAGGCCGCATTCCAGCGCCCAAGGCCCGCGAAGCGGGTTTTGGGCGCTGGTTGCTATCCTACCTTATATAATTTTGGGGTGTATCTCTGTGTGTGTGTGTCCGCGCCAGGGAGGGCTACTTTGCATAAATCCAAAAAATACAAGTTTCCTCATTCTTGCAAGTTGCACGCGCGGGTGTGGTCGGATGAAGTGAGGGGTCCGAGGGACCCAAGCTATCGGAAAGTCAAATTTCTCATGCAAGGCCGCACTCCAGCGCCCAAGGCCCGCGAAGCGGGTTTTGGGCGCTGGTAATTATATAATTTTGGCGTGTACCTTTGTGTGTGTGTGGATGTCAGTTTGGAGCCCCGATTTGAGGGCCTTCCCGTGGATAAAATGGCCTAATTTTCCGTCACCCGGGGGAATCGACCCTTCTGTTTCCGATGGCGTTCTCAGAATTTCGATAAAATACACGTTTACAAAGTTATAGCCGGTTTTATTCATTTTGGGGGTACCTGAGGGCTAATTTGCATAAAGTGAAAAAAGAAATGTCCTCATTCTTGCGAGTTGCACGCGCGCGTGTGGTCTGTGTGGGGGTCCGCAGGACCCGAGCTATCCGAAAGTCAAATTTCTCACGCAGAGGCCGCAATCCAGCGCCCAGGGCCCGCGAAGCGGGTTTTGGGCGCTGGTATTGCTATAATTTATCATTAACGCTTGATTATGCTAAAAAGTCCATTAAATCCGATTTAGTCTCCCCGTGCCCGGATGGTTGGATCTACTTTGTCTACACGGATATGTGCTATTATGTGGGTAATTTTCAAGGCATACTGTACAGGGTGGGCAGAAAAAAAAGTGCCTAGTTTGCAAATATCTCGCTGGGGGGAAACGAATCGGACCATCGTTACCTTGCCAGAATGCTTAAATATGCTGGGTATGAAGAATTAACACAAGTTGTTTTTTATGATTTTTGACGACCCACTACTCGTTAAGAATTTTTGAACATTTTTGAAAAAATAGAAAACTTTGAAGAGGAAAATCATGGAACTTTTTATGAGTTAAGGGGACATGTAGGGTATCAAAATGAAGCTCTTGGAATGCGCTATCAAATCAGTGGTAAAGATTATCGATCGGTTTAACTAGCCGTCAATAGGAGCCTTCGGAAAATCGGCACTTTTCCAGAAGGGACGATTCCGAGTTAACCATAGAAAGCACATTGCCACGGTAACTTTTTTTATTTGTTAGATGTAATCCTGTTTGCCAAAGATAACCATATTATAAATTTAACTATGTGAGCCTAGAACTTATAAATTCCGCTGACTTGGCAAAGTGCCAAAAAATTTTTTGATCGGGATTTTGACCATCTTAATGCAAAACGTTAGCAGGTATCTATTTATTGCTAACTGCAAAATATCAGAAAGATCGGATGGTAAAGAAAGTTTATCTCGAATTATTCCTTCAAAAAGTGCCTATTTTCCGAAGGCTCCTATTGACGGCTAGTTAAACCGATCGATAATCTTTACCACTGATTTGATAGCGCATTCCAAGAGCTTCATTTTGATACCCTACATGTCCCCTTAACTCATAAAAAGTTCCATGATTTTCCTCTTCAAAGTTTTCTATTTTTTCAAAAATGTTCAAAAATTCTTAACGAGTAGTGGGTCGTCAAAAATCATAAAAAACAACTTGTGTTAATTCTTCATACCCAGCATATTTAAGCATTCTGGCAAGGTAACGATGGTCCGATTCGTTTCCCCCAGCGAGATATTTCAGTGCAAACCAGGCACTTTTTTTTCTGCCCACCCTGTATGT